GTATAGACTATAGTATAGACTATAGTCTGGACTATAGTATAGACTATTAGTCTGGACTATAGTATAGACTATAGTCTGGACTATAGTTGGACTAGTATAGTTTTACTGTAGTCTGGGACTATAGAATAGACTATAGTATACTTTACAGTATAAACAATAGTATGGACTAAAGTACAGACTCTAGTCTGTACTATAGTATAAACTATAGTCTGGGCTATAGTATAGACTATAGTCTGGGCTATAGTATAGACTATAGTCTAGACTATAGTATAAACTACAGTCTGGACTATAGTCTGGACTATAGTATAGACCATAGTCTGGACTATAGTATAGACCATAGTCTGGACTATAGTAAAGACTATAGTCTGGACTATAGTATAGTATAGACTATAGTCTGGACTATAGTATAGTATAGACTATAGTCTGGACTATAATATAGAATAGACTATAGTCTGGACTATAGTATAGAATAGACTATAGTCTGGAATATAATATACCACTGCAGTATAAACTATAGTCTGGACTAAATTATAGACTCTAGTCTGGACTATAGTATAGACTATAGTCTGGACTATAGTAGTCTGGACTATAGAATATACTATAGTCTGGACTATAGTATAGACTATAGTATAGACTATAGTCTGGACTATAGTATAGACTATAGTCTGGACTATAGTATAGACTATAGTCTGGACTATAGTATAGACTATAGTCTGGACTATAGTATAGACTATAGTCTGGACTATAGTATAGACTATAGTATAGACTATAGTCTGGACTATAGTATAGACTATAGTCTGGACTATAGTATAGACTATAGTATAGACTATAGTCTGGACTATAGTATAGACTATAGTCTGGACTATAGTATAGTATAGACAATAGTCTGGACTAATACAGAATAGACATAGTCTGGACTATAGATAGAATAGACTATAGTCTGGACTATAATATACACTGCAGTATAAACTATAGTCTGGACTAAATTATAGACTCTAGTCTGGACTATAGTATAGACTATAGTCTGGACTATAGTATAGACTATAGTTTGGACTATAGTCTGGACTATAGTATAGACTATAGTCTGGACTATAGTATAGACGATAGTCTGGACTATAGTATAGGCTATAGTATAGACATATTCCAGTCTGGACTTTAGTGTAGACAATAGTCTGTATTATATTATGGACTATTCGATAGTCAATAGTCTGGACTATCGTATAGTGTACAGTCTGGACTATAGTATAGACTATTGTCTTGAATATATAATATAGACTATAGTGAGTCTGAGTTATTGTATAAACTATAGTATAGTCTGGACTATAGTATATACTATAGGGTGGACTAGAGTATAGATTATAGTCTGATTTGTATTACATACTGTTGTCTGAGCTATAGTGTGTAATCTTTTCGAGACTACAGTCTATTTTAAAGACTATAGCCTGGACTAAACCCTGGACTATAGTATAGACTATAGTCAGGACTAAAGTATAGGCAATACTCGGACTATATCAAAGTCTAATATTGTAGACTATGGTTTGAACTATATAGTAGACTATAGTCTACTATATTTTGGACTATATTCTACTATAGTTTTGATTATAGTATAGACTGTAGTCTATAATATGGATTACAGGCTGTACTATAGTATAGACTATAGTCGGAACTATAATTTGGTTTATAGAATAGACTAAATTCTGGACTATGGTATAGACTATAGTCCGGACTATTGTATAGACTAAAGTCTGGATTATAGTATAGACTATAGTTTGGACTATAGTATAGACTATAGTCTGGACTATTGTATAGACTAAAGTCTGGATATAGTATAGACTAGTTTTATAGACTATAGTTTGAACTATAGTATTGACTAAAGTATAGACTATAGTCTGGACTATAGTATAGAATCTAGTCTGAATTATAGTATAGACTATAATTTTTAAATTCATTCGTAAATCATTTTGAAATATTTCGTATATTGTTATAGTAGTAGTAGTAGCTGTCTGATACTTGGGCCTAGAAGGAAGATTAAAAGTTGTTTTTGAATATTTCTTAAGCTGTCTTTGATTCGTACCAAGTTACTAAGGAACTCGAATAATAGTTTAAATTTGAATGGCTTTAAGCTTTCAAATTTTCCTGTTAGGAAGTCATTTTATTTCAATTGAGGTCCTGTAATAAAGTAAAATTTTAATAGAAATTATTTGAAAACCCCAGATTACGGTATTGCTTAGTTTAGAACCGTTAGTGATTGAAATTAGTTGTAATTAATCATTTTAATAGTTGTTTTTTGGTGTAAATAGTTTATATTTATAAACAAAATAGGAAATAAAACAATAAAATAAACAGAGAAAATTATAAACAAAATAAATACAAATAAAAAACTAAACAAAATTAAAAATAAAATTGTTCAAATAAAACATAAAATTATTATAAAACTAATGCAATATTACCTAAAAACTAATATTTTCATTTATATCGACATCTCTTTTCTAGTTTTTGCTTTTCAATAATTTATTTAAAATTTTTTTTGCATAATTTTCAATATTATTTCTTTATTAACTTTATGCAATTTTGCTTTAGAGTGCAAGTTTTCAAAATTTAATATTGAATATTTTTTTGTTAAAAACTATTCTTTTAAAAAAATTTAGTTTTTTTTTTCAAAGAATTTTGTTTATAGTTATAACAACAGTCTTTTAATAAAATTGTATAAAAAAATTTACCTGAGATTACTTATTCGTTTTTTTATTGTTTTAAAGGGGCGGAGGGGGTTTTGTTAAAAAATTTTTTTGTATAAATAGTTTATTTAAAAAAATATAATAGATAAATAAATAAAAATCAACAATACAAAAAGATTTTATTTTATATAAAAAATATACAGTCAAATCACAAGCTGTATTGTAAAGTTGTTAGAAACAATGAAAATATTATACAACTTTACAACACTGCTTGTGAATTGACTATATAATATTTCGATATGAATGTTTGTTTTTTTTTTTTTTTTTGTTATTTCATTAACAATAAAGAAAAGGCTGCAATTATAACCATAAACTTATATATAGGTACAAGATTACACCAGAATAATAGATAATAGGAAAGCCCGAGTATTCTCAATCAAAATTTCGGTTCTTGAATTAATTACATTTTTAAAGCTTTTAATATAGAAATTAATCTTCATTTTTTAATAAACTAAAGATTTGACATAGTGGATTTGTGACCCTATTATAATAGAGTCTTCCGATTTCTAAGAACTCAACCATTTAGGCGCCATGATGTTTTCAATAGGCAGAAAGACAGACAAACAGATGGAAGGACAGGTCCACGACCAATATTTTGATCTGTTACAAAATCACATCTTCTCACTTCGGTGGGTATAAATATTTGGGATTCGATCTATAAATTTCTTTTAAATTAAAGATCATCTCTAGATTACATTTAATAACAGTTTAAACTTCGCGATCGTATTCAATATAGAGTTGTATTCTATGTAGATCAGCAGTGAACTTATTTTCCTGTAATACAAGTGAGTAAAACTGATTTTGAGAAACTAAAGATCAGAACAGATCTTTTCTTGATCATGTTTAATAACAGTTTAAAACTTCCCTAATGAATTAATGGTTAATGAAAGGTGATCATTTAACAATAGTTTAAACTTTCTTAGTCAATTAATGATTAAACATAGCTGTTAAATGATCGTGTGATTGTGTTTAGGGAAGAGTTATAAATAAATAGATCATAATGTTCAAACTTCCTTAATCAATTAACTATTAAACCAAGATTGTTAGAGGAAGGTGAACGTTTTCAAGAGAGAGTTATTTTTGTGACAAACTTCTATAAGATCAGTAGTGAAGTTGTCTATAGCTGTAATAAAAACGAGTGTAAAAGGTTTGAGTAACTAAATCAGAACAGAGTATTTCTGATCATGTTTAACAAAAGTTTAAACTTCTTTAATCAATTGATGGTTTACAAGTGTTAAACAAGGTGATCGTTTTCTTGATCAACTCTTCCCTTACTTCCCTTACAGGTAAGGTGGTCGCTACACCTTCAAGACTTTCTTTTCCTCCAATATCTTGTGAAACGTCCTTAATCATTTCATGCTTAAACCTAATATGTTGAATCGTGTTTAGGGGAGAGTTTTATCCGCCAATTTTATTTATTTGTGAATCTGAACAGGAACTTGCGCATACAGTTTAAACTACGTTTAGTGTAACTAAGATCAGAACATATCATCTCTTGATAAATTTATGACCAGGTTTAACACAAAACCCGTTTTGAGTAACTTAAGAAAGGATCATCTCTTGATCAATTCAAGGAGACTTCTTTCCCTCCAATATTCTTTCTAGATCAGCAATGAACTTGTCTATAGCTGTATGCAGGGCACCTTGAGTTAAAACAGATTTGTGTTACTTAAGATCAGGAAAGATCATCTTTTGATCATATTCAATGAAGTTTAAAAACTTCAAAGGTTAATGCAAGGTATTAAAGAAGATGATTTCTATATGGATCAGGAGGGACCTTGTATTAGTAGGAACTTAATGCAAGTGTTTTGATCACATTCACAGGTGACTTCTTTCCCTCCAATATTCTTTCTAGATCAGCAATGAACTTGTCTATAGCTGTATTATAAGCACCTTGAGTTAAAACAGATTTGTGTTACTTAAGATCAGGAAGGATCATCTTTTGATCATGTTCAATGAAGTTTAATAACTTCAAAGGTTAATGCAAGATATTAAAGAAGATGATTTCTATATGGATCAGAAGGGACCTAATAGGAACTTAATGTAAGTATTTTGATCACATTCACAGGTGACTTCTTTCCCTCCAATATTCTTTCTAGATCTGCAATGAACTTGTCTATATCTGTATTATAAGCACCTTGAGTTAAAACTCATTTGTGTTACTTAAGATCAGGAAAGATCATCTTTTGATCATGTTCAATGAAGTTTAAAAACTTCAATAGTTAATGCAAGGTATAAAAGGAAGGTGATCGTGTTCAGAATTCATTTCTATATGGATCTGCAGGGACCTTACATTAGTGGAAACTTAATACAATTATTTTGATCACATTCACATGAGACTTCTTTCTCTCCAATATTCTTTGTAGATCAGCAACGAACTTGTATATAGCTGTAGTACAAGCATCTTGAGTTAAAGCAGGTTTGAGTAACTAAAGATCAGGAGAGACCATCCGTTGATCATGTTTAATAAAGTTTCAAAACTTCAATAGTTAAACCAAGATATTAAAGGAAGTTGATCGTGTTCAGAGTTCATTTCTATGTGGATCAGCAGGGACCCTGCATCAGCTGGAACTTTATACACGAGTTTTTACAAGTTTGAGTAACTAAAGATCAGGAGAGATCATCCGTTAATCATGTTTAATGAAGTTTAAACCAAGGTATTAAAGAAAGTTGATCGTGTTCTGAGTTCATTTCTATATGTATCAGTAGAGACCCTGCATCAGCAGGAACTTTATACAAGTGTTTTTGAATGGTTTCTTCAAGACACTGTTAACATTTTTTTTTACTAACGATCAGTTCTAAACTTTAAGATCAATTGTTAAACATTCAATTAACTAAGAACTAGATTTAAACTTAAAGATCAGCATTTAAGCTGCAACAAAAGTAAGTTTTGAATTCTTGTTTGTTTGGATCTTTTGATCCTTAAGTTAAAAATGTGTTTGAGCTGTGTTTAAAGTTTAGAATGATTCATCTTGATGATCTTTAAGACCACCTCCTATATACTAAACTTAGTTTAAACTTAAATGAATTGATCTAACGTTTAATATTTAAATTGAAAATTTAGTTTAAACTGAAAACTATTTCTAGTTTATACATCATTAGTTTAAACTGAGTTCAGTATTTTAAATAAAGTGCAGACATTAAAGGTTTGAATTGATCGCGCGTAAGTTGAAAACTGACTATAGTATATAAGCCATCTTTAAAGTGCATTAAGGGTATACAATTTAAACGTTTAAACCGATACAATCTTTGAACTGATCTTAAGTTTGAACTGATTTTAAGTTTGAACTGATCTTAAGTTTGAACTGATCTTAAGTTTGAACCGATCATATGTTTAAACTGATCAAATATTTGAACTGATCTAACGTTTGTGTTGATCCAACATTTGCACTGATCTAACGTTTGAACTGATCTAATGTTTGAACTGATCTAACGTTTGAACTGATCTAACGTTTAAACTGATCTAACGTTTGAGCAGATCTTATAAACTTTTTTCGCTTAAACTAAGATTAAAGTATAAAATAAAGAGTTAACTCAAGCTCTTCCCATTCGACTCAAACGCTTCAAATTTCCTGGAAAGTTTCGAACTTTCTCTTAAACTATACCATGATCATTATCAAACTTTAAATTTGCCCGCAAATCCTTTAACTTTAACGATATTTTAAGCAATTTTTTTCAATTTGTTTTCTTTTTCTCATTCGTATTATTATTCTTAAGTGTAATCTGGTCATCCTATATATATTTTTTTCTATATATATACACATACAACATAATCATGTTAACATTAATTTCTATAGAATCTATAAATTGTTGTTTTTTTTTGTTTGTTTAATTTAATTACTTTCGCTTAATTCTTAATATTAGCATTTGTTTTAATTTTAAACTTTGAGTTTCACTTCACTCCTCGTGTGTGTGTGTGTTCGAGAGAGAGCTCAATAAAACGAAGTACACCAGGTTTCACCCACGGTAGGACTTAATAGAGCGACCATATTATTGCTATGATGTGATGGAAGCATTGTTGCGATGGGATTTATGACAGGCGCCGATGCGGGCAAACACTGGAAACAGTAGTTGGAGCCATAGTTATTATCCCAATATTGTTGACCCTTACATTGAAAACGCACCGCGAATTCTAGACGCTGGCCAATGTGCAACGAATTGCCAAACAAAACGAAAGAGAATTTATCCGAGAAGCCGTCACAAGAGTTTTCCACATAATTTGCCTGCAAATCAGCAAAACTGCGCCAGCCATCTAACGAATAACGTATGTGTACGGATTTATGGAAATCCAAATTTCTTACTCGAACACTGCCGGTTATGGTGTGATTAATGCTATCGGTAACGGCAGCATTTTCCAGTGACACTAACTTTTCGCGTACAATATCCAAATAGTTGGGTAAACCTCCGGGCTGTTGGAATAGGGGCATAAGTATTTTATCGGATTTGGGTCCCAATTGTACCGGCGGTTCCGATTCCAAGATCTCTAAGTCTTCATAAGCTGATTTGGGTATGGTGGGTATTTCATCGAGGAACGTCTTAACATCGGCCAAATCCAAACCCAAGACATCAGCAAAGCGTACAATTTTCTTGCGTCCTGGGGTGCCCGGTGGAGTTTTGCCAGTTTTCAAAGAGGAACAACGTCTTATTCTCTGTGGTCGACAGTCATCTTCATCGTCGGTGGTGTCCATGTGTAAATGAGAAGTTTTGGGTTTTTCAGTTTCTGTTTGCGAAGGTACATCGAGTTCCTGTTGAGAGTCTTTTGTTATGGAGGGTTCATTTTCATTCGAGTTATTTTCCTGTTTTTTAACTTCTTTATTTTCATCTTTTTGTGGTATAACTTCTTCCACTTCTACCTTTAAAACATCTTCACCATTCTCGCCATGTCCATTTATAATGTGTACAACTTGTTTCGATTCCTGTTCCGGTTTTATTTCCTCTTCCTTAGCTGTAGCCGTTTCCGTTTCTGTTACCTTAGTTGTATCTTCTGTTATTTTACATTCCTGCTCCTCCAAATTCTTCTTATTATTATCCTCCTCCTCGTCTTTATAATCCAATGATTGTTGATGCAATTCCCTTAAGATTTGCGCCTGTACACTTTGGCTAATATCGACTTGTTTAGAGCTTTCCATGTGTAAAGTTTCCTCTTGCTGTTTGGCCATTTCAATATCGGGTCCTTCGCTGGGCAGTGTTTGTGTTAAATCTTCATGATGACTGTTATAACCATTGCATTGACCCGTTTCGGTCATTTGTTTGGACGACGATGTACAATCCACCTCATCTTTAGCCGCCTGATGATGTGGTTGACATATGTGATTTGAGGTCTGTAGCTGGTGTGGATGTAGATGACTCATGCAGGCTTCATTTTCGGAATTAACATCAAAATAGGGACCATCTGAGGAACTATGTGAACTGGCCGCTGAGGCACAAGCATAACCCGATTCTGCAGCCGAGTTGTGTGGTGTATTAGAAGTAGATTCTATAAGTCTTAAATATTCACATTCATCAACCGGACTGCCGGGACTCTCCAGTTCGCAATCGAAATCAAAAAACGAATCCGACTCATGTCTTAATGGTTGTAGATCTGTGACCGTTTGTTCTCCGCCATCACCACCGGTGACCCAAGTATTTGTATTACCTCCATTTATGATGGGTTCATCCTCCTGTGAGGGATCTGCCTCGTCAGCCTTGAAAAAGAAACAGTGACGCAGATATAAAAACATTTTGAGTTTCAACTCTCTTTTCTCTTTCTCTCTAACTCACCTGTGTGCCTAACGTGCGCAACTTGGAGGATAAACGGCGTGCAAATGCCTCAGCTCGGCCTCTACATGATGACATACCTACTATGGGTATTATAGAGACTAAACTGCAGTTCTTGGGGTCTGGTGTGGCACTACTATGTGTTACTGTTAAATCGCCTGGACCGTTCATTTACGTCAGACTTTTCAATTTTGCGCCGAACTGCAAATATACAAAAAGACATAAAATATATTAACATTTTTGTTGCTTTTGTGCAGTTTCGAAAAAAATGTAGGAAAATATTTAAATTTTATTAAAAATCTTCTTCATATAAAATTGTCTTCATTAATATTTTGACCGATTTTTTTTTATAAAAATTAAAATTAAATTCCATATATTATTTTATATAGTATATAGATAATAAAAGTAAATATGCATTTTTATTAATTATATGTATATTGTATTAAGTATATAAAGACTGAACAGTGTGGTTAAAAAAGAGAAAATATGAGCAAAAAATATTGAGATCTCAATTTTGAAACTGACCACAGTGTAGTTCAGTTTCCTTACAATAGATTTTGACAACAGATTATAGAACGGGCTATAGACTTGACTATAGTCTGAACTATAGATTGGACAACACTATTGACCACACTATAGACTGGACTACAGAGTATTATAGATATTAGACTATAGACCAAACTATAGACAATACTATAGACTAATCCAAAGACTAGACCATAGATTAGACTAAAGACTAGACTATAGATTACACTATAGACCATAAATTACACAATACAGACTAAACTAAGTATAGATTATACTATACACTAGACTATAGATTAGACTATAGACTCTACTGTACATTATACTATAGACTACACTATGGGCTAGACTATAGATTAGACTATACACTAAACAGAACTAGAACAGAACTAGAACTAGAACAGAACTAGAACTAGAACAGAACTAGAACAGAACTAGAACAAACTAGAACAGAACTGGAAGAGTACTAGAACAGAACTAGAACAGAACTAGAACAAACTACAACAGAACTAGAACAGAACTAGAACAGAACTAGAACAGAACTAGAACAGAACTAGAACAGAACTAGAACAGAACTAGAACAGAACTAGAACATAACTAGAACAGAACTAGAACAGAACTAGAAAAGAACTAGAACAGTACTAGAACAAAACTAGAACAGAACTAGAACTGAACTAGAACAGAAGTAGAACTGAACTAGAACTGAACTAGAACTGAACTAGAACTGAACTAGAACTGAACTAGAACTGAACTAGAACTGAACTAGAACTGAACTAGAACTGAACTAGAACAGAACTAGAACTGGAACAGAACTAGAACAGAACTAGAACTGAACTAGAACTGAACTAGAACTGAACTAGAACTGAACTAGAACAGAACTAGAACAGAACTAGAACAGAACTAGAACAGAACTAGAACAGAACTAGAACAGAACTAGAACAGAACTAGAACAGAACTAGAATAGAACTAGAACAGAACTAGAACAGAACTAGAACAGAATTAGAACAGAACTAGAACAGAACTAGAACAGAACTAGAACTGAACTAGAACTGAACTAGAACTGAACTAGAACTGAACTAGAACTGAACTAGAACTGAACTGAACTGAACTAGAACTGAACTAGAACTGAACTAGAACTGAACTAGAACTGAACTAGAACTGAACTAGAACTGAACTAGAACTGAACTAGAACTGAACTAGAACTGAACTAGAACTGAACTAGAACTGAACTAGAACTGAACTAGAACTGAACTAGAACTGAACTAGAACTGAACTAGAACTGAACTAGAACAGAACTAGAACAGAACTAGAACAGAACTAGAACAGAACTAGAACAGAACTAGAACAGAACTAGAACAGAACTAGAACAGAACTAGAACAGAACTAGAATAGAACTAGAACAGAACTAGAACAGAACTAGAACAGAATTAGAACAGAACTAGAACAGAACTAGAACAGAACTAGAACTGAACTAGAACTGAACTAGAACTGAACTAGAACTGAACTAGAACTGAACTAGAACTGAACTAGAACTGAACTAGAACTGAACTAGAACTGAACTAGAACTGAACTAGAACTGAACTAGAACTGAACTAGAACTGAACTAGAACTGAACTAGAACTGAACTAGAACTGAACTAGAACTGAACTAGAACTGAACTAGAACTGAACTGAACTAAAACTGAACTAGAACTGAACTAGAACTGAACTAGAACTGAACTAGAACTGAACAAGAACTGAGCTAGAACTGAACTAGAACTGAACTAGAACTGAACTAGAACTGAAGTAGAACAGATATAGAACAGAACTAGAACAGAACTAGAACAGAACTAAAAACTGAACTAGAACAGAACTAGAACAGAACTAGAACAGAACTAGAACAGAACTAGAACAGAACTAGAACAGAACTAGAACAGAACTAGAATAGAACTAGAACAGAACTAGAACAGAACTAGAACAGAATTAGAACAGAACTAGAACAGAACTAGAACAGAACTAGAACAGACTAGAACTGAACTAGAACAGGAACTAGAACTGAACTAGAACTGAACTAGAACTGAACTAGAACTGAACTAGAACTGAACTAGAACTGAACTAGAACTGAACTAGAACTGAACTAGAACTGAACTAGAACTGAACTAGAACTGAACTAGAACTGAACTAGAACTGAACTAGAACTGAACTAGAACTGAACTAGAACTGAACTAGAACTGAACTAGAACTGAACTAGAACTGAACTAGAACTGAACTAGAACTGAACTAGAACTGAACTAGAACTGAACTAGAACTGAACTAGAACTGAACTAGAACTGAACTAGAACTGAACTAGAACTGAACTAGAACTGAACTAGAACTGAACTAGAACTGAACTAGAACTGAACTAGAACTGAACTAGAACTGAACTAGAACTGAACTAGAACTGAACTAGAACTGAACTAGAACTGAACTAGAACTGAACTAGAACTGAACTAGAACTGAACTAGAACTGAACTAGAACTGAACTAGAACTGAACTAGAACTGAACTAGAACTGAACTAGAACTGAACTAGAACTGAAGTAGAACTGAAGTAGAACTGGAACAGAACTAGAACAGAACTAGAACAGAACTAGAACAGAACTAGAACAGAACTAGAACAGAACTAGAACAGAACTAGAACAGAACTAGAACAGAACTAGAACAGAACTAGAACAGAACTAGAACAGAACTAGAACAGAACTAGAACAGAACTAGAACAGAACTAGAACAGAACTAGAACAGAACTAGAACAGAACTAGAACAGAACTAGAACAGAACTAGAACAGAACTAGAACAGAACTAGAACAGAACTAGAACAGAACTAGAACAGAACTAGAACAGAACTAGAACAGAACTAGAACAGAACTAGAACAGAACTAGAACAGAACTAGAACAGAACTAGAGCAGAACTAGAACAGAACTAGACAGAACTAGAACTGAACTAGAGCTGAACTAGAACTGAACTAGAACTGAACTGGAACTGAACTAGAACAGCACTTGAACAGAACTAGAACAGAACTAGAACAGAACTAGAACAGAACTAGAACAGAATTAGAACAGAATTAGAACAGAACTAGAACAGAACTAGATCAGAACTAGAACAGAACTAGAACAGAACTAGAACAGAACTAGAACAGAACTAGAACAGAACTAGAACAGAACTAGAACAGAACTAGAACAGAACTAGAACAGAACTAGAACAGAACTAGAACAGAACTAGAACAGAACTAGAACAGAACTAGAACAGAACTAGAACAGAACTAGAACAGAACTAGAACAGAACTAGAACAGAACTAGAACAGAACTAGAACAGAACTAGAACTGAACTAGAACTGAACTAGAACTGAACTAGAACTGAACTAGAACTGAACTAGAACTGAACTAGAACAGAACTAGAACAGAACTAGAACAGTACTAGAACAGAACTAGAGCAGAACTAGAACTGAACTAGAACTAAACTAGAACTGAACTAGAACTGAACTAGAACTGAACTAGAACTGAACTAGAACTGAACTAGAACTGAACTAGAACTAACTGAACTGAACTAGAACTGAACTAGAACTGAACTAGAACTAGAACTGAACTAGAACTGAACTAGAACTGAACTAGAACTGAACTAGAACTGAACTAGAACTGAACTAGAACTGAACTAGAACTGAACTAGAACTGAACTAGAACTGAACTAGAACTGAACTAGAACTGAACTAGAACTGAACTAGAACTGAACTAAAACTGAACTATAACTGAACTAGAACTGAAGTAGAACTGAACTAGAACTGAACTAGTACTGAACTAGAACTTAACTAGAGAAAAAAGTTTGGATTATAGTCGAGGTTATAGGCTAGAGCTTATTCAATATGAAGCTTTTTGGCTTTATATAATAATCTTCGTTTTTACAACCCACTGTTTAAACTTTTTGAGAAATGATGCTTTTTATTTAATTCTGTTGTTGTTGCTATATCATCAAAAAAAAAGAAGATCTTCAATCATTAAGAAAATAAACATACATTATACGAACGTCATACCACCCAAACAAATGTAATAAAAATGAAGAATATAAATAAAAATAAATGCAAAAAAAATTTAAGAAAAAAATTTAAAACAATTTAAAAAGAACACAATATTTAAGCGCATTTAATATAGATTTCTGCACTTTTCAGTTGGAAGCAAGCCATTTTGAAAAAGAAATTGAAAAGACAACAAAGAAAAAAAAAAACGAAAACAAAAGCAATGATTTTTAAAGAAATGTTAAACTTAGAAGATAATAAATAAATAAAAATATGAAAATAATTATAAAAGTAAAAATAAATTTTAAGAAAAACCAGACTTTGAAAGTTCAGTATTCAACTTTTTGCAGTTTTTAATTGAAACAATTAAATTGTTTGTAATAACATTCTTTATAAATTTATTTATAATTTCCTTTGATACTACTACATCTGTTTTATGAGAAACTTCCGTTTGTGCTTTTCCGGTTACGGTTCAGATTTACTTTCTAGCATCTGTCAAATCTGACGTTTAACAAGTTCATATGCTAAACGTTTAGAGTCTTGTGAATTTCCTCTGTTTATTGCCAATATTTTTACGAAATTTTCATTATAGTTCAAGGCCATTGGTTAATTGGCAAAATCTTTTTTTGCAACTTAAAACATTTAAATTATTTA